AGGGCAAAATTAACTGGAGATAACTGACATTCATTAAACATGGCACGTGGAAATAGAACAGTCTACTCCAGTGAGCGAAATAAAGGGTTCGGTTCGACATTCCAACCACCTGAAGAAGGCCGGAGCGTACAATGGCCGAAACATTGTTTTAAATATTGCGACAAAAGATTTGGACAATAATCCTCATAGGTATATATATATATATATATATATATATATATATTATTCGGATTATTGTCCAAATTTTCTATATATATATATATATATATATATATATATATATATATATATATATATATATATATTTGTTCAGTTTTAATTCAATATTTAGAAACTTGACCTCGAAGGATATCTATATCTTTCTCTCTCTCTCTCTCTCTCTCTCTCTATATATATATATATATATATATATATATATATATATATATGGTTTTCACATAGTTTTCTCATTATGGTGCCATCTGTGAACAAGAATTTCAGATGAATCTCCTATGAATTACACGCAGAGCATATTTCTATTGATCCAGCTTCTAAGATAACCGGAAACCCATTATCGTTGCTAATAACTGATATACTCATAAAAGAATTTCAACTATACAAAATAATTCCAGTTACTGCTCACTTCGCGCCCGGGTCACCTTCCGACGACCTGGTCATTAAACGAGCATGTCGCTAAGCGATTTGCAACTGATCACTATTTCAAATACACAATGTGCGTAATTGCTTTGTGTCAATCATCTTCGGTTGGTTTTAATGTCACTTTTGTACCATATGTAACTGAACAGAAAAAATAATAAACAAATTCGACAATCAGTAGAATACTGCAAATGCAGTAGACGAAATATCTTTTATTTATTCTACACTTAAATTATCTGATTTTATTTTATTTTTTTTGACTAGATGTTACTTTTTAATTTTTATTTTATTTTATGAGATTTCCAAGTCCTTAACCGTGGTGAAAGTAAAACGACCTCTTTAGACTGCAGGCCTGGGCAAGAGAATATGCAGGCTGTGCGCTGCTCAAACCACGTGCCTCGGTTCTTGACCGTACCGACAAGATCCAAATGAATAGAGACCATGTGACATTACATGGGCTGCAGGAGCCAATCCACTTTGGGGTCCACTCCAAATCTAAATTTACTTCCACAGCCTTTTTCCGTGTTTGGATTTGGCCGCAAACAGTGGAGGTTTAAAAAAGGTGTTCATTTCACCCCTATATATATATATATATATATATATATATATATATATATATATATATATATATATATATATATATGTGTGTGTGTGTGTTATATATATATATATATATATATATGTTGTTATACAGTGTAACCCGGATATAAGATAGTTGTCACGGCCGGAGAAGAAGTCTCTTATATCCGGTTTGGTCTATTTTATATACATTAACACAGGCTCTAATTTAGGACCAGAGAAAATCTCACTTATATCCGGGTCTCTTATATCCGGGTTACACTGTATATATGTTATATATATATATATATTTATATATATGTATATATATATATATATATATATATATATATATATATTGTTATATATATATTTATATATATATATATATATATATATATATATATATATATATATATGTGTGTGTGTGTGTGTGTTATATATATGTTCATTTCCACACCTATATATATATATATATATATATATATATATATAAACAATAAAATTTTTAAAATATGAGATTTAACGGATGTTAGATTTCATTGAAAATACATCCCTGCCCCTACCAAAAACGTAACTAATAACTGATACATCAAAATACAGACATAATGAACACGCCGACACCCCCTGTCTGGTGGAAGGGGATTTATCTGTAACCTTGGAAACGTGAATTATCATTTTAGCTGTGTCTTTAAAACCCAGTAATTTTAAAAGTTACTCCAAAATTCGCTTGAGGATGAAATGGAACTAATGTCTTTAATTTAATTACAAAATTAAATTCGGAGCTTTTAGCTTCCATTTTTGAAACATGGTTAGAACTGTGTAGCGAAAAAACATATTTTAAATCAATTAATTTATAATATTAATGCTCTATAAATTTACATTGAGCACTAATTTGTAAAAATAAAAATATCTATAAGAACACCGGATTATATATCTTACTGTTCTTTCTTTTTATTTATATATACATACATTGGCTTCTAATCAAAGTCGAGCACTCTAAATCTTTATTTTTAACATGAAGAAAATATGGAGAAAATAAATTTCGGAATTTCTCTGAAGAACATTCCTAATACCAACAAAAAGAAATATTTCGTGATATTAATGAAAAAAAAAACAGAGGAACTCATACGAAGGATGAGATGGAGAGCTTACTTCTTCCTTAATAAGAACGAATCAGAAAACAAAAACTACAAGGAAACTTACGGTTTTACCAGTAAAAAAGCAGCACCATTTATTCATTGTTTGTCCGCTTTCGAAAAGGACCTACTGGAAATAATTAACAACATAAATTTCCATGACTAGAAAAGCTACTTCCAGAAACGCCTGGATAAGATTGTAAAGGATATTAACGCTACAGATAAAATTTTAGTTAAATCCGACAAAACTGGAAACTTTTATAAAACAACCATAAAGGAATACAACGACCTAATAAATAAGGACTTACATAAGAACTACAAGAAAGCGAATAAAAATGACCTCAACATGGTTCGGGTTATCAATACTAGCAGTAAGGAAATCACTGATAAACTAATGATGAGTGATAGAGTAGGTCAACTATATCAAAAAGAATGCTACATAACCTTAAAGGACCATAAACCATATTTTGAGGCTAATCCCACGACAAGGATAATAAATCCTACAAGACCGGATATCGGAAAAATTAGTAAAATGATCCTTGAAAGGGTAAATAAACAAATTAAAGAAAAAAAAAGCCTGAAACTTTGGATTAATACCAAGGAAACTGGTTTACTAACATAAAAGAAAAAAACAATTACATTGTTCCGACTATTGTCCTCATCTTTATTTTCAAATTCACGACGCTTCGGCCTTTGTACACCCAGGCCTTCTTCAGGCTAGAAAATTGCTGTCATATCTGAGCTTGAGATGCCTAGTCCTCACTTGCCTTAAAAGCGTCTCCGCATCCTTGTGGGTGATAGCTACTTTCCACTCTACACCTCCTTTCACAAAGACAACACGTCGATAGTATGTAGATATTCTATCAGTATTTCCATGGAAACCTGACGAGCTACATTTTTTGACTCAATCAACCCTGACTTTTGCAGTTGGAACTGGCCATACCAAGGGCACAAGGATGAATCATAGTCATTCTCTTCGCATTGCATTAAAAAGGAAGAAGTTCCACTCGTAAAACTTCTTCCCATGAACTGCTGCTCTGTAAAACAGACTGTCGGCAGGACGATTTCCCGATCACTATAATCTTGACTTTGTCAATTCTAAGGTTAACCGTTATTTTTTACGCATAATATCATAAACAGCACTTCTTGCCTTTCCTTATGCTCATACAATCCGACATAGTAACCTGGCTTTTGCTTTGGATGATATTTAGTATAAATAAAGGTTGAAAGAGAAGAGGAAGAAAAGTTTTCTTCGATAAAAAAAAAAAAAACACGTTTTATCCTTTATCACAATCTTCAACATTATATCACTTAGGAAAACTTTCCTTTTCCGTAAAATATATGGCCAACTGCTACGGGACAGGGAAATCTATGAGATGTTACTATAGATTTTATTTTTGTACGCAACGTTTTACGGGTAGACGGCTGCTCCTGCTTCACCCTGAGTCATGCACGCATAGTATATTTTCTTCTGTGTGCCGCATACATTTAATAAGGGATCCGCTCCCTGTTCGCTATCTATTCACAGAATTTCGTCAGGTAAGTGACTCTCTGACTTCCTCTATCTCCCTTGCCTTAAATATGCCCTGTGGGATTAAGTGGCTGGCTGACCTTCTCTATCTCTCTTGCCATAAATATGCTCTGTGAGATTAAGTAGCTCGCTGACTTACTCTATCTCTCTTGCCTTAAATATGCCCTGTGGGATTAAGTGGTTGGCTGACCTTCTCTATCTCTCTTGCCTTAAATATGCTCTGTGAGATTAAGTAGCTCGCTGGCTCCCTCTATCTCTCTTGCGTTAAATATGCTCTGTGAGATTAAGTAGTTCGCTGACTTACTCTATCTCTCTTGCCTTAAATATGCCCTGTGGGATTAAGCGGCTCGCTGACTTCCTCTATCTCTCTTGCCTTAAATATGCTCTGTGAGATTAAGTGGCTCGCTGACTTCCTCTGTCTCCCTTGCCTTAAATATGCCCTGTGAGGGTTAATTTTTCCAAGCCCTTCTTTTTCATTATATGTCGAACGTATTTAGATTGTCTTTTCTTGATTTTGAATAAAAGTGTTCTGTCTGTTGTCATTTGCCTTTAAGACTACATTTACTTTCTATGGAATCCATTTGTTGAACCACATTTCTGATGCCTCAAGTTTTTTTTTCTCATCCTAACGGGAGATTGTCTCACCTTCACTGACATATAAGTGGATGAATATCACATAGCAAGTCAGCACTCTTAGTTTATAACGAATTTTTTCCCGTTTCTCAGCACCTTTCTGGGCTTTTGGAATGTTTCTTTCTATAGTTTGAACGCATAATACTGAATATCGAAAATAACACCAAATACAAGAGCCTTATTTCGAAGTCTACATCTGGTCAATCTTTTTGTTCAAAACCTCAATGAAGTAATGTTTAAGTAATTAATAGTCATATTCTATATTATAAACGTTAGACACATATTCTATCTATAATTAGGTAGATACTAACACTGTTGAAGGGAAAACGGCTTAGCACCTGGAACAAAACACGCTCATACGTGACTTGAGTGGAAGATTCTTGAAAGAAAACATGGCCGAACCAAAAGCTACAATTTAAGAAAGACCTGATCTCATAGCTCAGAGATTATGCGAGAAGAATATGTGGCTTATGCAAATTTCTGAGCCTCAGACTCTCGGTAAAATGAGCATTAGCGAGAGAACAGCAAAATCGAATCGAGTCTCTAAACAGCCGTATCTATCTATCTATCTATCTATCTATCTATCTATCTATCTATCTATTTATTTATCTTTTTCTGGCTACAGTGGTTGCACTGGTATTTATTTGGTACACCAGAGCAACTGAAAAATGGCTTTGTCTTGAGCTTGTATAAACATATTTTTTTCTATTTTTGAAGCGATTGGCATCATTTTTTTGTGTGTGTATATGCGAGTGGTGTGACGAATATATTCACAGAAAGTGAAATTGTTGGGCCGAGTTCAAATACTGGGCTTGTCTGTTTTGTTCATTTTCGCAAATATTCCCCTTGAGAAATTTTCTCTCTCAGCCATGATGATCTCTCTTCCAGTTTCTTGCCTTCCTGCCATCTTCAAAAATCTAAATTTAACGTCAATTGCAATCTTCTGTATACCTGTTCTTTTATTGTCCTTTCTGATCGTTAAACAGTGTAGACTCAACTTGAAAAAGAAGACATAACAAAAAAGATTGAGTTCAAGGGGAACAACTCTGATTTACAAACCGTAGAGACAGTAACGGAATAACTTTCCACTCTGCCTGGAAATTCACAGAAAATATAAGAAACATCTATGTAGAGTGGTGAGGGATCTGCGTCCTAAAGTGGGATGGCATTAAAATATTATGTCAAAAGATTCTGCCTTCATCTTCACGCACATATTCTAACACATACATCATCATTTGACCGCAGCTGGGATCATTGAGCCATTGCGAACTATCTTTTCTTTAGTTGTATAGTATGCATTACACCAGAGCTGCATACAATTTTTAAATTGAGACTTGCTTTCTCTTAGTCCGTTTGCCACCTACGGCGATAGAACCCAGTCTATTTAACCACAGCTGGGGGAGGGGGAAAGTAGAGTATTCATACCTTTTCTAAGGGTATTAGTACGTAAGTAAATGAAATTCGAACTCGGCTCTCAGATTCCTCAATCCGTATCGCTATCCGTTACTCCACGGTGCCTCTTCCGATACATGTGGAATTTCATATAATTTTCAAAAAACGAGGTAGCAAAGGATAAAGTATTTCTCTGTAAATAGTTTCACGGCAATTGTTCAAATGAGCTTTTCTCCTACATTGATAGCATGGATTTAAGCATAGTACTAGATTGACAAAGAATTCTCATCGTTTTTACTAGTTTACTCTAACCGTAAGTTTTATTCTAATAGTTTCTTCTCTCACACTTCTCGCCCCAGGAACGCTCTTCCTGCCATCTTCAAAAATCTAAATTTAACGTCAATCGTAATCTTCTGTCTACCTGTTCTTTTATTGTTCTTTTCTAATCGCTAAAGTCTTCTCATTCTATTTCAGTCCCAGTAAAACCTTGCGTCTTAGTGGCATTATCACCTTGCTTGCGTTGAAAAGATTATTAAATATTAAGATTATAATACAGTTCAGAACAAGCCAACCTCAGTCAAAATCACAGAAATCCGCGTTGAAGTTAATAGTGATTTCCTTATACTGTTTAAGCCATAAGGCTGTACAGAATGAGCATCGCTAAGACTGGGTTTTGAATGCAGAGATGATCTTCTTTTAGACAAGTTGACAATCACGGCTACAGAATCCAGTCAGCCTTGCTATGTAACCGAGAACTAGGGGAGTAGAGATGGATTCCTACATTTCCTAAGAATATTTGTGTGAAAATGAATGCAACGAATTCGATCGGAATTTCAAACTGTATCTGCACTTTCAAGGTTATAACAGACGCTTTCTGACAATTAATAGTTATTTTTTAATCATTTCACTAAGTAAGGAAGTAAAGCCACTAAGACATAAGGGATTACTGAGTGTGAAAAAAAATACGAAAAAATAAAACATTATCCAGGTGAAAGTACAATAAAAGAAGAGGAATCAAAAAGAACGATTGACAGTGCATTTAAATTTGTGAAAATCAAAGTTGGATGGAAATGATAGAACCGGGAGAGAGTTCTTCAGAGAAGTGCGAGAAAGGAAACTTTAAGTAAAAAACTTACGGTTACATCTAGCTATTTCGACTGTAAAACCATGAGACCCGACCGCCAATCTAGTACTGCGCTGACATTCAGAAATCTGGGGTACCATAGAGCAAAGTTCACCAGAACAAAAACAAAAAAACAAAGAGAATCTACATTACGGTGGTAGGGAACTAACTAAAGCCAGGATGTCAGGTCAGGTTCAATAACATTGCAGATTCTTACGAATCAACCCGTTTTGTACGAATAAGTGATGGTCAGTCACCATGCATTTTTATGATAGTGATGGACACTAAAGTTCAAAAGTTTGATTCCACCCCCAGAATTAGCTTGGGATGAACTTGACAGAAGAGTGAAGAAAAAGAATGAAAAAAAAAAAAAATTCTTAAAGTGATTGAAAAATGAATGGAATTAATTATCAAATTTATACTTTAAGAAACGATTGCAACGAATGCCAAAAAAATGTGCTGCAGTAATTAAGCCTAAAGGAGCATATTGTGACGAGAGCAAAATTTAATCATAAAATACTTTTTTTTTGTTTATTTCGTAATAAAATTTCTAATAAAAAAAATCACGTCTCACTGATTTTAACCATGTATAATAATTATCTCTTATTTAAAATACAAAAGAACGGCTTTTAGGGACAATTTAAACATTTGCCATGGGTTTCCTCAAACTTTTGAACTGGAGTGGAAGTAGTTGCAACGTATGCGTTGGAATATAATAAAGTCAAACATGCTATACTTTTGGTTTTTCTATCTTCCAAAATATATTTTTAATCCTTTTCAGGCCGTAGACGATCATAACTTCACGTATTCATTTTTTTTTTTTTTAAATGTGATTTGATATAACTTCTTGGAAAATAGTAATACCTTTTTCTACGATTATGAGTAATTCTTCTAGAACGACCTCGAACCACGGCGAGAGAATTGTCTACGCTGCAAATTTGGGTCTTTCATGGACATTGTAAAATCTGATATTAATTATAAAAAGTAAAAATAAAAAAGACGGTATTAAATACAGATTTCAAAAGAGAAAGTAAAATAAAATCACTTATAGCTGTATAAAAACACATTATTAATTATAGGCTTCTAATTATAACCTCGTATTGCCTACTGTCCCATTTTTAAAGGTTGGCATTATTCGCTTAATTCATAACGGAGGAACCACGCTTTCTCTAAGAGCATTAGTGTAAAGGTGAAAGTAACAGTTTAGACCGAAATTCAAACTCGTCTCTCTGATTCTAATTTCGGTGCTGATAAGCCTTTCACTACCCGCGCGTTACTGGCTAGCTATAAAATAATGCAGAGTTAAGCACGTTCGGAATTAAAAGTGTTGCGAGAGATTGTCACATTTCTATAAGTGAATTATCAAATCATTTCTCTCTGGTGGAACTAACAAGATCTAAATGACAGCATGTTTCAGCAATCTTCTCATTCTTGGAGGGTCTCGATTCTTTTTCAATTTTTTTTCAGATATTCGGTAACGAGGTGTGTACAACAAAATAGAAATGGATATTCTCAATAGATTTACTTAACCTGTTCAGCGAAATGATTATATAGGGATTAGTGGATCATACAGGATTTATTATCTCCCAAATAACCTTCGCAACGTGCGCTACGCAGAAGACACTATTGTTGATGGCAGATACAGAACGATAAATGCAAGAAATATCAGAGAAGATACCCAAAGGAAGCAAAAAAAAAAATGGCTTTCAATTAATAGAACATAATATATGTTGATGTGAGCAAAAGGGTCAGGTCATGATTGGGGTTACATATCGGGGACCACATAATTAAACATATAGTGGAATTCAACTATCTTGTCAGTGTACTAACAGAATATGTGACGGTGACTTTCGAAAAAGCCCCACAAAAGCCAAAGACAGAAAAGATAGGAGGCAAAAGAAGTAGAAAAAAAAAATCAGCGTGTCATCTATCAGACAACATCAAGAAAATGTATAATGAATTAACACCTACAAGTACAAAGAGGAAACTTATTGCTGAAAGCAGCAAATGATACGTTTGATTGATTCATTGATTTTGAATTACTAGTGTTCACCTAATACAAGGCCCAAGAGCGACTCAAGGTAGAGGGTTAAGGTGTAGAGTTATATCAAAGAGAAAAAATAGACATTAAGAGTATAGAGATGAAGAAGGCTTTAGAAAAAAAAAACTGGAAACTCAATCCTAAACAGGAAAACAGGGATAAACTTCCTTTTCATAAGACCAAGGAAGAATTTAAGACGGACTACTACTATTAAAAATTGGTTTATTTTTTACTGCTTCTAACCCTTTTCTAAATTATTTTAAGCTAGAAATTCTTTTTAGATAAAAAATAATGATTACAATACAAGTATTACTAATTAAGCATCACTAGAAGGAGAAGAGGTGAATTCATAATTTTCTCAAAGTTATTTGCCCATAAGTGAATATAAGGAACCCCAGTGAAATTGAATCTCGGTTCCAATTTCCAATTCCGAGCCGTTATCCATTAACACCACCCGCACTTTACAGCACCTGGTATTCCCAAGCGATCACCTATCTAGGTAATGACCCGGCTTGACTTTGCTTAATTTCGGTGAACCTGTGTTTCAATGCGGTATTGTCGTAAGACAACAACTGATAGGAAACTGTGGAGAACCATACCCATCTACGTCCTGAAGGAATGCGATTCATAGAAAAAATAGGATCTTATTGAACTCATGTCGTACTCATAGCATCGTTGTCCATTTGTATCTCCTTAAGCCTCTAATGACATCTAAGATTTACTCGTTGAACGCGTGGCAATTCCACGAATATGGACAACGAAGATTATACATTATCTCCTGCCTCTCATCTCCTATAGTGATTATGGATATAATCTTATTTAATAATTTCTAAATTTCTTGAGTTAAAATTCTTCTTCTTCTTCTTCTTCTTCTTCTTCTTCTTCTTCTTTCGCATTTTCTTATCTTCTTCTTCTTCCTCCGCCTCTCCCTCTTCTTCTTCATCGCACTTCTCTCCTTCTTCCTCTTATTCTTCTTCATCTTTCTCCTCCTCCTACTCTTCGCCCTTTCTCTCCTCCTCCTCCATCTTCCGCCGCTTCTTCTATATTCCCTTCTTCTTCTTCTTCCACCTCCCACTCTTCGTCATTTTTCTTCTCCTCCTCCATCTTCCGCCGCTTCTCCTCTATTCCACTCCTTCTTCTTCTTCTTCTTCTTCTTCTTAATCATCTTTCGCCTTTTCTTATCTTCTTCTTCTTCCTCCGCCTCCCCCTCTTCTTCTTCATCGCACTCTTCTTCTTCTTCTTCTTCTTCCTCTTAGTCTTCTTCATCTTCTTCCTTCTCCCACTCTTCGTTATTTCTCTTCTCCTCTTCCATTCTTCTTATTCTTCTTCCTTCTTAGTCTTTTCTTCTTCTTCTTCTTCTTCCTTCTTCTTCTTTGTTCCTCTTCTCCTTCTTCCATCTTCCGCCGCTTTTTCTTCCTCTATTCCATCTTTCTTCTTCTTCTTCTTCTTCTTCTTCTTCTTCCCCCGCTGCCTCCTCCTCTTCTTCTTCATTGCACTCCCCTTCTTCATCGCAATTCGCTTTTTCTTCCTCTTATTCTTAATCATCTTTCGCCTTTTCTTATCTTCTTCTTCTTCCCCCGACTCCCCCTATTCTTCTTCATCGAACTCTTCTTATTATTATTCTTTTCCTCTTTCTCCTCCTACTATTCTTCGCCCTTTCTCTCCTCCTCCTCCATCTTCCGCCGCTTCTTCTATATTCCCTTCTTCTTCTTCTTCTTCTTCTTCCCCCGACTCCCCCTATTCTTCTTCATCGAACTCTTCTTATTATTATTCTTTTCATCTTTCTCCTCCTACTACTCTTCGCCCTTTCTCTCCTCCTCCTCCATCTTCCGCCGCTTCTTCTATATTCCCTTCTTCTTCTTCTTCTTCTTCTTCTTCTTCTTCTTCTTCTTCTTCTTCTTCTTCTTCCCCCGACTCCCCCTATTCTTCTTCATCGAACTCTTCTTATTATTATTCTTTTCATCTTTCTCCTCCTACTACTCTTCGCCCTTTCTCTCCTCCTCCTCCATCTTCCACCGTTTCTTCTATATTCCCTTCTTCTTCTTCTTCTTCTTCTTCTTCCTCCTCCGCCTCCCCCTATTCTTCTTCATCGCACTCTTCTTATTATTATTAATCTTCTTTAACTTTTTCCTCCTCCTACTCTTCGCCCTTTCTCTCCTCCTCCTCCATCTTCCGCCGCTTCTTCTTCTTCTTCTTCTTCTTCTTCTTCTTCTACGCCTTCTCCTACTTCTACTTCTCTCTCCTCCTCCTCCTTCTTCTTCTTCTTCTTCTTCTTAATCCATTCTTTCTGCTTTTTCCTTACCCTGTTTTTTTTTTGTTCTCTATCTCTTTTTCATTGTCCTCTTCATCATTATCTCTGCTTTTTTCCTTCTTTTTTTTATTTTCCTTCTTTTCTGCACCTCTTCATCTTCATTCCTTCTCATCTTCTTATTTATGCATTCATTCTTCTTCGCTTCTTTTTCTTCCTTTTCTTCTGTACTTCTGTCAAATTTCTTGTCCTCATTGTTAGAGGACAAGAAATTTGAAAGAAAGATTCGAGTAAACTTTTAAAAATCCAGTTGTTATTTCATTGTTTTTATTTTGTTTTCTTTTTTACTGTTTTAAAAACTTCTAAATCCTGGCCTATTTCAGAAATTTGCTTTCATGTATTTTTTTTAATACAAACCTGACGCTGTTGTGACACAACTCGACACGAATGGTGTGAGTGAAAACGACGTTACGAAAAGTATGCAACTAAATTTCGTGATTTTCGTTAATGAAATTAGTTAAAAACTGCTGCTACAATTCAATTTTGTTTTTCCTGAGAATAAAATTCTTTCACGATTTGACTCCTCACTTTTTGCTGCACTGATTGCACCCAATAAAAAAAACATTACCAATTAGTATACTCGCATTTTCCTCAACTAATGTATTTAATTATTTATGCCGATGTCGTTATCTGTACTGATTTTACACTGATGTCTTTTACTGGAGATACAGTGACAATAAGCCTTCTCAAAATTCCAACACTTATCGTAGTTGATGTGATTATTATTATTATTATTATTAATATTATTATTATTGATTTGTTTGATACAATTATTCGCCAAATCTTTCAACTGATGCCAAATGTAAATATAGCTTATCGTTGACAGAATTTTCTTAAGTATGTGAGAAGTACTTATTAACACCATTTTCCTTTTTTATTTATATTTCTTCTTCTTCTCCTCCTCCTCTTCTTCTTCTTCTTGCTTACAGCCATATCACGTTAAACCTGAAGTTAAGCAACGCCGAGCCTGGTTATTATCCAAATGGATGACTGCTTGGGAATACGTGAATGTGCGGGTGGTGTCATGGTTAACACTTCGGAATTTGAAACCGGAGATCCGAGTTCAAATTCCATTTGTTATTCCTTATATTTACTTATGTGCAAATACCCTTGGGAATGGTATGAATCCAACTCTTCTCACCCTCCTCATTCATGGGTTAATTACTCGGATTTTTCCAATCAGGAAATATAATCTGATTTTAAATAACTGGTAAAAGGTTGATAAGCCATAAATAAAACAAATCAATTAATAATAATATGTTTTGAACCTAAAGGTTCTCAAAGGAGAGTTACCATATATTTTGTGGAGGTGAAGAAAATGTAAAGTGTGTTCCAATAATTTGGACCGATTTTAAATGTGAATTAAGTATAAACTTTTAATCATTTATTTTCTTTTTCTTTCAGATTTAACAAGTTAAGTCTTTGACAATTTCAGCCATGGAAAGATTAACAATCAAACAATGCATTTCGCGCACTTCGCGATTTTTTTGCTCAACATAATCGACCAAACGAGAGTCCAATTGGAAACGATGTAACGTTGTTGTGGAGAAATTCAATTCCTGCGCGCGATGACGAATAGAGGGGTCTGGATTTTCGGCCACATTATCGTGCACTGCAGTAAAGTTTTCAGCTGAACGGCGTAAATGAGCACGCAATGGTGTTTTCACATCTGCCACCGTCCCAGTTTATTTGAATTTACGAACAATTTTTCTAAATGCACTCTTGAAACTTAAGCACGTTGTTTGATTAGGAATCTTTCTATGGTTGAAATTGCCAGACTTAAGTTTTTTTTAAACTGAAAGGAAGACAAAATAAAATCATTAGAAGCTTAATATTAATTCACATTTAAAATCGGTCCAAGTTATTGGAACACTCTTTACAAAACATCGACAGAAGTTGTGAAACTTATAATACCAGTAGAATGTGGCATCGAAAGACAACAACATACCATGATTTTATTGGGTCCTTGGTGAAGATATCAAAAGAAACAAACAAGTAGGCGGATCAAATTCCTGGCAAACCTAAATTATATGAATCGCAAAATATACTCATGACTACTTCTCACATCTTGGATAGATTTCTGTCCATGCAGTGACTACAGTTACTTTTTTACTTAGGATTTCATGGCAACTCATTAGTTTGTAACTTATACAAAACAACTGTTGTTTCTTGAAGTCTCTTGGTTAAACTTGGGCGGGGTAACTTGTAAACCACAAAGTAAAAGTAATGCGGAATACTACTACTACTACTACTACTACTACTACTACCACCACCACCACTACTACTACTAATAATAATAATAATAAGAAGAAGAAGATATAAAAGAAAAAGAAAAAACTATCAAAACACAAGGATCTCGAAGTGGAACGATAAAAGATATGGCACACGAGAACATCAATAATTCCTGTTGTAGTTGGAGCCCTCGGATTGATTTGAAAAGGCTCCGATAGTCTTAATGAAGTGATTTCTTGTAGCCCATGCCTTAAAAATACAAAGAATGGCCTCAAAAGTACAGTACATACATTACGAAGAGCTTTATCTATGTAAAGTGTTTGTGATTCGCTTTTTTTTACAAAATATTCAGTGAAGATATCCATGAAATCAAAAGAAATAATAATAATAATAATAATAATAATAATAATAATAATAATAATAATAATACTGCCTTTATGTTTATTAGTTATTGTATCAAAAGTGTAGATACCAAGTCACAAACATTTGGTACAAGCAGAGCAATTGAAGAAGTTGAAAAACTCACAATATTCTGAGATTATACTTTTCAATCAGACATTGTGATACACCATCGCCGTCCTGATATTATTGACCTTAATAAAGGCAGCAAGAAATGTCATATTGATGTTACCATACGAAATGAGACAAATATAGAAGACAAGGTGATTGAGAAAATTACAAACTACTCTGATTTGAAAGTTGAGATGGTATAATTGTTTGGAATGCAGGGAGAGAATACCAAGATGATTCCAGTGGGATTTCCTCATTAAATCTACATGACTTCCTTGACCAGATGGGGATATCATACCAAGTTGGAGTTATGCAAATATCGTCTTTTTTGGAGACTGCATATTATATCTGAAGTCCTTGTTGTGACATGACAGATAACTTAATATACCCAGTCTATTCAAAAGCTCACAAAACAAAATAACAAAACGATAATAATAATAATAATAATAATAAGAAGAAGAAGAAGAAGAAGAAGTAGAAGAAAATCCTTAGTATCCCATCGCTTCAGAAGACTGTGTCTCATGGCACAGCAAATATACTGTGAAAGGTGATTTCTGTCTGAGGCCGTGCGACTTGATGGGAAAACATCCCATAATTTAAGATCTCTGGTTGAACACAAAAACTGAGAGAAAATAATAATAATAATAATAATAATAATAATAATAATAATAATTTGCCGAAATCTGATGCAACCATGTGCCTGGCAGAACAACTAAAGAGATTCACAATATTCTGGTTTTCAGACTGATACACCATCGTCGTCTGGATATTATTGTTCTTGATAAAGGTAGCAAGAAATGTCATATTATTGATGTTACCCGATGAAATGACACAAATATAGCAAACAAGGTGATTGAAGAAATTACAAACTACTCTGAATTGTAAGTTGAGATGGCAAGAATGTTTGGAATGCCGAAAGGGAATATCTAGTTGATTCCAGTAGTGATTGACGCCTTGGTTTCCATCCCATTAAATCTGTGTGACTTCCTTGACCAGCTGGATATACCAGAACAAGATGGAGTCATCCAAAATCGTCTCTTTTCGGATAATTCGCGTATTTTGAGGAAAGTGTTGTCTGTTTGAAATCCCAGTGGCTTGAATAAATCTTTATCTATTCTCTGTATTCAAATCTTTTTATTGGGTAACAAAACGACAACAAAAATAATAGTAGATTTTGAAAATCAGAAATAAACATTAGTTTAAACAAACAATTGGTGTTGAAAATTTTGCTTTAAAAGAACAATGCGATGCAAGGAAACTTAGTTTGACGGAATGAAGTCAATTTATGCATGCAGATGCAAGATTTCTTCAATCAAAGTGTGGAATAAACTAGAAAAATAAGATAGTCATATCATTATATTATAAGCCAAGATGAAAGTTAAGCATCCCGAAAAATGTTTAAAAAACAAAAACAATTAAATATCTAGTTTGGATTAACTCCATAAGAATAATAAAGTGAGATTTGGTAAATTACGTAAAGTTAATAGACATTAGAAGCCCAACAGTTACAAGCAATTTGGAAAGGAAATAAGTATATTGTGGAATACTATTTGAAGAGATGACAAATGTCAATATGAAGATGGTTAATGGTTAAGAGATTTGCATAAAAATAAAGGAAACTTCAAAGAACAGTTATGTCAATATATTACATCAAAAGAAATAAGATACGCGTTAACCAAATCTTAAAAGTGAAAATCACCAGGAATTGTCAAAATTCCAAGAATTATGACAAGAACATTTAATGAAATGACGCTGGGATCTATAAGAGCACTAAAGATGGTGACACATTTTTGCTTCCAAAAGTAATGATTCAGAAAACCTAAAAACTATCGATCTATCACTTGTTTGTTTCTTACACTTTTTTAACCTCCATATTAACCATAGGTCAAATTTTTAAAAGATCCGAAAAATACGGGTAACTTCCAAAATTAGCATTGGTAGTATATTACAATCAAAAGAAATAAGACACGCGTTAATCAAGTCTCATAAGTGGAAAGCACCAGAAATTGACAAAATTCCAAACTTTTGGCGTGACACATTCTATGATACTTATATCATTATGGTAACGCTATTTAAGGAAATGATGCTGGTGGCCACAACACCAGAATGATGTCACATATTGTTATCAAAAGTAATGACACAGAAAACCTAAACACTCTCGATCTATCACATGTTTGTTCTTCAATATCTTACACGTTTTTTTTAACCTTAATATTAACCAAAAAAT